TCTCTGTAATGTTTTCCACATATTTCAAAATTTTATGCAAAATAAATATTTTAAATAATTTACATTTAAGCAATTGTTGACAATAGGTGAGATGAATAAATTTTTACTATGACTCTTATAGAAATATTTTTAAGTTAGAATCATCCTAAAATATGAACTGCTGAGTGGAATTTTGAGAACTCCATTTCTCAAAGGAGCTGGATTATCCCATGTGTTATACTTCATTTATATACTTATAACATATCTTATAAAGTATGTTCAGTGCATTCTTGAGGATGGTATTATACTAAATATCATGCTCAGTTCAAAAAATATATAATTATAGCTTGTAATTTTATTATAATACATGGTAGATGAATTAATTTTTCTTAAAGAACATAGTACCTTTGCTAGTTATATAGTATAAATTCTGATAACCTTTATATGTAGGAAAATGGAATATCTTAAATCACTATAAATATAGCTAAGTTTTACATTTTACATTTTCCATTTTTCACACTTTAGAGCTAAGTATGTATACTGAATCATTCCTGTGACATAGTCACTTTTGTAGGGTTTTGGTCCCTTTAATTTGGCAATACATATCAAACAACATATTGCAGAAAAAAGCTAAAAAACCCCTTAAGTCTCTCCCCCAAAATTTCTCTATTGTACTGAAAATCTACTTTTTCTAGCCAATATCAGATCATAATTAATATCACAGCCAAGGTATACCCCCCCGAAAAAAAAAAAAAGCTTGAACACTTCTGGGCTGGACTCTTTCAGAATTTTATAATCATTTTTATTATTCTAGGTTTTGTTTAATCAAAAATTTTAATTGAGTACATGGCACGTACAAAACTCTGTGCTAAGATCTTAGAAGCTTACAGAGGAAAGGCACTTTTTTTTTTTTTTTAAGTTCATGGCCTAAGAGGTCAGCAGGTAAGATATAAACAAGCAGTTATAAAAGTACAGCTGGAAGGAATACAGAGAAAGTATCAAGAGCACTGGGGAAGGAACAACTCTTTCCCATCAAGGAAGTCATAATGGTTTACAGAAAGAATGAAGTCTGGGCTAATTCCCCAATGCAGTAGAAGGCTGGCAGAAGGCGGTTAGGCTTAGAAAGTAGGTGAGAGAGAACAGCACAGGCAAAGTGAACTACATATGCAAAAAATGAAAGCAAGGGCTGACACCGCACAGCAGAATGGTGATAGAAGAGAAGGCAAGTATGTGGAGAGCACAGGCCACAAAGTACTTTCAGATCCAACTAAGAGAGGTGGTTTCTTCCCTACTTTCTTCTTCCCTTCCTCTTCCTACCCCTTCTCCAGCACTCCCCTCCCTCTTCCTTTCAATGCTAACCCCGTGGGCTGTAATGTCTCCAAGAGATAGAAGAAAGGATGACTTTAACAAAAATTGCGGAGACAAAAATTGCACATAAAGGATGAGAGAGGCAAACAGACAGGACTCCAAGATGGTTCCTGGGTCTGTATGAGCTGGCTGAAGGAGGTTATTACCAAATGCTATCAAGAATACAAAAAATGGGATATTATAAATTTAGGTAAGAATTATGAAGTAGAGAGAAAAACACCGCTAATATGAAAGAAAGAGTGAATAACGTGGAAAGTTCTTAGGAGGAAAGAGATGTGGCCTGGAGCAAACACGAAGACACAGACTTTTCTTACAATGAACAGAACTACAGTAATGGTGAGGGCAGAGAAGACGGATACAGTCCTAGGGACCAGATGTGATATCTGTGGAGGTAATCTCTTTTCCTTTATATAAAGAAAAAAACACCTTAAGAAGTCAGTTAAATTCCTTCTAGTATAGGATACACTTCAGAACGAATTTTACTAACTTTAACAATTGCCTGTATGATTCTGAGAACAGAATATTTCATTTTGAACATACATTTTTGTCATCAAGAGTAGGAAAAGGGCTGGCCAGATAGCTCAATGGATTAAAGTGCCTGCTTAGGCAGGTACAGGGACAGGTGGTGGTTGGGGATATTTTTAACCCCCAGCCTGCCATGTCAGCTCTGCCCCCGGATATACTGAGACAGCAATTGTGACTGGGTGTGGTGGCACCTGCCTGTAATCCCAGAGTTTGGTAGGCTGTAAACAGAAGGATCACTATGAGTCCCATCTGTGTAGTGGGACCCTGTAGATCCTATACTAAATACATTAAAAAATAAATGAAAAGGGCTGGCCAAATAGCTCAGTGGATTAAAGCGCAGGGGCTGGGGTTCAATCCCCAGGTCTGCCATGCCAGGGGCTGCCACAGGGCATGCTGAGATGGCAATTGAGACTGGGCGTGGTAGCATGTGCCTGTAATCCCAGCTCTTGGGAGGCTGTAAACAGGTGGATCACTATGAGTCCAATCTAGTAGTGAGACCAGAACACCCTGTAGACCCTTACCTAAAAAAAAGGTAAAAATAAAAAAAAAAAAAATAAAGAGTAGGGAAGACTACTCTTTTTGTGCTCAAGTCTGCCATAGATTTATTTTCCTTAAATGACTGAAAACAATACAGTTCTTCTCAGTAGTGTATTATAGGTAAAATATTCTAAATTTACTAAACACCACATTAAATATGGTAATGTAATGACTAATCTAAATCTAAATATAGTTCATGGAAAGTAAAATTCTTCTGCATCATTGCAAGTCACAGAATAGTAAGCTGATGAAATGCTGTCCCCCAGGAGGTAGGACTTTCTTTTCTCCTTGGGCTTCTTTTCTCCTCACTCTGCACATGCTTCCTCTATGCTGGACCTGCAACCATGGCCTCAAGAGTCATAGATGTGAAGATGGTTCTAAAATCTGAAATCAGTGGGTCCTAAACTAGATGGACCCTCTCCTTTCCCCATAAAACAGCCTATAAATCTCATGGAATGGCACAATCACTCATCTAGTTGCTCAAACCAGAAATCTAGGCATATTTGACTTCTCTTTCTCCCCTCTCACATCCAATCTGTCATTAAGTCCTATTGATTCTATCACCAAAGTATCTAAGAATGCATATCCTTGTCTCGGCTCTGTTTCCAGAGCCTCCCTTTTAATATGTGATCAGGGGATCACATATTAAACTGATTACCTTCCAGCTGTCTATTCTTCTTCCTTTTCTTCTATCCATTCCCCATGCTGCTACCAGGGTGATTTTTCTAGTTTGAATTATAGGTGTCACTTTTTTTTTTTTTTTTTTTTAATGTATTTAGTATTGGGTCTACAGGGTCTTACTGCACAGATTAGATTCAGAGTGATTCTCCTGTTTTCAGCCTCCCAAGTGATGGGATTATAGGCACATGCCACCATGCCAGTCTCAACTGATGTCTCAGCATGCCCTGGGGGAGAGGCCAGCATGGCATGCTGGGGATCGAACCCCCACCCCTGTGCCTAAGCAGGTGCTTTAATCCACTGAGCTATCTGGCTGACCCTTAATAGGTGTCACTTTTGATTCCCAACTCTTCAACAGTAATCCATGTCTTTAGGATAACGTCTAAACTACTATTTGTACTGTAAAGCAATCTATTACTTGGGTTCTGCTTACTTCTTGGGCTTATGTCCAATCATGTTCAGCAGCCACCACTCCCTTCCCAACAGGGTATTTTTCCTTTTTAGTTAGACATCTCAATGCTGGTCGATGCTTCATCTCTCCTAATTCAACCATCTCCCACTCTTCCACTTCTGTATAAAATGTCCAGCAGGTCTCTGCATCTCACTCCCCAGCAAATATCTATGATCTCTTCAGTAGTGTATGCTTCACTTTGCCTTAACTGAAACCTGGTTCTCTATCATGGATACTGGTGCCCCTTGTATCTGAAGATAATCCCTCCTGTTCTGTGTTTCAGGATTTTTTCCTATTCCCATTGCTTTTCTCCTATACTTTCTACCCCTCCTTCTCAACAAATAAAAACATGCTATTTTCTCATCAAAAACAAACCAATGGGCAAGGGTGTAGCTCAGTGTTAGAGTATGTGCTAGTATGTGTGAGGCCTAGGTTTAATCCCTAGCACCAACAAAACAAATAAATATCCTCCATCAAAGTCCAACCAACCAGCAATTCTTCAGCCTCTGTCTCCCCTGACTCCTGTGCTCTTGTTTCTCTGCTCACACCCAGGTCTTTCCAGTAGGCTTTACTCATTTTCTCTTGTTCTACCCATTTCTCCAATTCATGCAACATGGTTTCAGATTCTATCCTCTCACTGCCTTGTAATCACTAAAGGGTCATGTACTTCCTGTTGCTGAATCTAAGGAGCAGTTTTCAGTCTGTAGCTTATCTACCCCCTGAATTCACCTGATTTTTATACATGTGCTCAGAGGTTCTATGTAGGGCCATAAACCAGTATTGGTCAGTGGGCTCTTAGGAAACAGGCCCTAAAGTAGGATGTGAGCTGCAGGCAAGTGAGTAGCTTTATCTGTATTTATAGTAGCTCTGCCTTGCTGGCTACTGCTGAGCTCTGCCTGCTGCCTGACAAGACCATGAGTCTCACTGAAGCAGGAAACCCACTGTGAACTGTTTCCTTGAGTTCCTCATGAGAATCTAGTGTCCGACAGGTTAGGTGGAGCTGAGGTAATGATGTTAGCTTGAAGAATGTAATACTGCAAATGTATACTACAGATAAAATAAGATAAAAAAACCCTAAGAGATGTGGCCTAGAGTAAACACAAAGACACAGACTTCTCTTTTAAGGAACAGAAACACAGTAATAGTGAAGGTGGAGTAGACAGATGCAGTCCTAGGAATTGGATGTGACAGATATGAAGGTAAGCTCTTCTTATTTTAGACCTATATTTCATCTTTTTACTTTTAAACTGATCTCATTTTCTCTCCAGGTTCTAATTACCACTAAAGTTTTAACAATTTATCTTTGATTGTTCAAAGAATCTGAGAATATTGTCTCTTACTTAACCAGTATGGTATGTTTTAAAAAATCTATTAGATGTTATAAAACTCATATCTTAATTCTCTAACAATACTTTAGTTAAGTAAAACACACATATGGAAATTTAAAACAAACGAAAATTACCTCTATCTCCAAGGTCTCTAAAAAAGGTTGATCCACAACTGGCCTTTGGGATTCCTGCCAGGACATCCTGGATATCCTTTGAATACACATATTAAAATCTTTCAATTTAACTTATAAAAGTTCATTTTCTATCTTCAAACAAACATACAAACAAAAACTCCCCAACACATTTCTTACCTTCTTTGCCAGCTTCTTGACTGAAGTTTTACCTATAGCAGAAAAGAAACATCATTTTAGTGATCATATTTTTTTGTAAACTCAGCTTGTACTAAGAAAGAAAATTATTTACAAGACAATCAACCAAATACTGATTACTCTTGAACTAAAATTCAATACATTTAAACTAAAACATAATTCTAAAAACTAAAAACACAAAGACTTTTTTTTGCAAGGGCTGAGATTCTATCTCACTGTAGGAAAAATGGTTATCACCAAGAAATCAACCAATAACAAATGCTGGCAAGGCAGTGGGCAAGAAGAAAACTGTTTCTTCTGTTGGTGGGAATGTAAACTGGTATAACTACTATGGAAATCTGTATGGAGAACCCTCAAAAACTAAAGTTAGAGGTTCCATTTGACCCAGCAATTCCCCTTCTTAGTATTTTCCCAAAAAAGTCAAAAGCATCATACTACAGTGATATAGCACATCTATGTTTTTAGCATCATAATCGGTAATAGCTAAATCTTGGAAAAAGCCCATATATCCATGAAGAGATGAACGGATAAAGAAAATTTATAAACAATGGTATCTATATATATATTCTGCTATAAAGAAGGATGAACTTGAGACATCTGTACATAAATGGATGCATACTGAGACCATAATGAAATGAAATATTTGAGATACACCAGTATAAACATCACATTGTTTCTCTTGTGTGAGAAACCTGAAAAGTAAACAAGATAACAAATGGAGGATAAATATTGGGAAGTAGGAAGAATATGTTCAAATACGAAGTGGAACAAGGGAGGGAAAGGGAGGAGGGGGAAGAGAGGATTTTAAATACTGTGAAATTCATATTACTTCATTAAGTGAAATTCTGTATCATCTGTAATTTTTTCTGTTTTAATTCTAATTTGTACTCTTTAAAGAGATTTTAAAAAATTATGGAAGAAAAAATGGAAACAAAACTGTAAATGGAGAGGGGAAGAAGGGCTGAAGGGAGGAAAGGGGAATGGGAAAAAATTAAGATATATTATATACTGTTACAAATTTCGTATGATAAATGTGAGCACTATGTATGGCAAATATGTACTAATAAAAATTAAAACAAAATATTACCAAAGACTTCAAAAATGTGTTACCCTGATCCTGAACTTTTGGATAAACTATTATCTTCATCTGACATCTAAAACAACAGCCAAGAGAAATTATGCCATACTGGCATTGGAGGATTTGTTCTCAGATAATAAGATTTGACAAAAAAACAGATGTTAAAGATTCCTTCAGTTCCACTAAGTGTCTGTTTAGGCAGGTGCAGGGCCTGCTGGCACCACATGCAGTGCTGGCCCACATAATGAACCTGCAGCTACGTCCGTGTGTGGTGGTACATGCCTGTAATCCCAGTCCTAGGAGGCCTTTATTTTATTTTATTTTTCAAAATTTTATTGATAAACAGATAGCAATGAGACAGTTTCAAATCAAATCAGAAGTTTCAACAAATAATACACTGCATATATCCTTCTTAGTGGTTAATTATTGTATAAGATGTGGACTTGAGATCCTATTTACAAACATCATTAGAACAAATCATTCTATTCATTAAGAGAATGCAACTATATATCTATCCTAACCACTTTATACACAGATACAAAACGGACATTCATCTGTACACCCCATTTTTTCTAAGTTCCGTTATTGAATATTATAGGTGTGTGAACTCAGCAAAATATTCTAAAAGAGTCCAGTAGCCCATAATAGCACTGGGTCTTCTGTTTAACTGTCAATGTCAGAAAT